AGAATATAACTTAACCATTAAGCATGCTCAAAAAGACATGCTAAGGAGAGAATTAAATATCTATTAAAGATAAATGATTATTTTTTACCCTTAAGAGTGATCACGATGACCAAATTTAGGAGCATATTAAAGATATATTTAATATATATCATGATCATGAAATAATTAAGGCACTCATAAGAGTTATACAACTTATTCTACTAGTTTAAAATAAGTAATAGGGTTACAAACAAATCAAGTTGAGTCAAGTAGGAGGATGTTCAAGCTCATCCATGTTTACAAAATATTTGTTTATGCCCGATTCAAACTTGATTCAAGCTTTTAAGATAGTTTTTAAGCCTAATTCACTTAATTTTATTCTTATTCAAGTTTGATATGAGTGTTGGAATCCATTTTTGATGTGACATGTGAGGGATGTCCACTTCAATGCTATGATACTATAGTTCAATTATTTACGGTATTTTTTATTCCAAGACATCCATTAGGAACTCTAGGTAAGTCTTTTGGGCACTGAACTGAGGTTGATAATGATTCAACCTTACCTGGGAGAGTTCACTATTGGGTGGCATTAGTTTTGACATAGGACACATTTGTTGTCCACCTCAATGTTTTAAGACCATGCCTCATCCATTCGAAAGCCTTCGACGATTAAAAGAATTCATATAGCCCTCTGACGTGCATTGGAGCTTAGGTGGTCTTCTTTCTCATTCCTTTCTTCTTTTTTCTTATTCTCCCTTCTTCTTCCTCTTCACATTTGCTCCACTACTTTCTTAGGGGACTGCGACGAAGCCTTTGAAGGAGCTTCTTCGAGGAAAGCTTCAATTCTCATTTAAAAAGGAGGGTTTTTGCTTCTTTGGAGAAAAGGTGAAGCCATCTTCATCTTCATCGTTGCAAAGTTGGTGTTTGGATCAAGCAAAGAGAACGCTTCTCCAACCATCATGAAGGTATAACTCCTCTAAAGTTTGTTTTACTTCTTTTTTAGCAAGCCACTTAGGTCTTTGTGTTAGAGATTTAAGTCTAGGTTTTGTGTTAGAGGGAAGTTGCGAACTTAAGGAGCTTTCTTTTGTGATGCCTTACAAATTCATGAGATTTTCCTAAGCCATAGTTCATAAACTCATTCGGTTGGGATTACGATAATCCCATGATTATTTGGTGGCTTCTCTCTTGATGAAGGTGTTGACTCAACTTTTTCGACCTAGATAATGAAAGATTCTCTTGATCCCTTATACCCTAGCTCGCAAAGGCCATGCCCATAAGAAAACATCATTTCTTACTGGTTTTCTCTCATGGTAATAACTTTCATATTTTTGCCAAACAATTAGAGGTAAGCCCTTTGTTACATTGCGTAATGAATGGAAGCTACACAACTTCATCCTAACCATAAGACTTATGAGATATCGTTAAGAGCGATTCAACTTGTTGTTGAATGTGCTTAGGTTCATTCTCAAATTTGCATGTGGTCATCTTCATTTTCATACGCGTGCCATTATTTAAAAATATGCAGAAAAATGATGAATTGTCTGAATTTTTTTTATTTACCACCATTCTTTGGTTGGTCATCGTTGGTCGGCTTGAACGCAGTCCGATATTGTTCAGTCTGATTAGTTATCCCACGTTGGATGTCTCGATCAGTCATTTGATGTCGGTCGGCTTGAATGCTTACATTAATCGGCTCAATAAGTTGCCCAATATCATTCGATCTGATCGATCGTCCCTCGTTGGATGACTCGATCGATCACCCAACTAGACCAATCACCGGACTCGAACAATATCATATGACCAGTCTAGCCCTGTATCATTCGATCCAATTGGTTGTCCCTCGTTGATGGTTCTCGGTTCTTCGTCCTATAGGGAAGATGAACTGATGCCGTCCATTTCCGTTTATTGGAAATGGACGACGCAGATCGAGTCGAACCATCGAACCGCGGGGGAGGAGAACACCAAACTGCTTGCCGCCTCAGCGCGAGCCAGGAAAGCACATCCAACTGAAGGAAGACACACGAATTTTCGACGCCACTGAGGTTGACGTGAGTGCCGCGTGTTTAAAAAGATAATTTGTGGTTTTCCAAATTAATTAAATGTAGAAAATTAAATAAAACTTTAAAAATTCATAATTTGATGTAGAAAAAACACAAAACTAAAAAAAAATACCTTTAAACTTAATGAACAGAGGGAAAAATAATAAAACTAAATTTCAAAATAATTAAATTATATTTAATTTTAATTAATTAAATACTTCATAGAATATTTAAATTATTAAAAATTAAATATAAACCCAAAAAATATAAATTCTTAGAAATGTTCTAAATTGTTTCTTAAGTATTTAGGAGCAATTGGAATAAATTTTTCCAAGGTCAAATGCCTTCCCTAAAATATAAATAACTAATTTCCTACCAAATTTATAATTATTTTTCAAAATAATTATAAAAAATCAGAAAATGGAAAATAAAAATGGATATCAACAAGAAAATTTAGGATGATAAAATTAATCCCTAAAATAGTAATTTTCACCTTCAAAAATTTTTAAATGAAAACTAAGAAGGGATAAAAATGTAAAATTGAAAATTTACCCTGTAGCCAAAATTGTCCCTAAAACCTAATTTAAATCACTATATCAACCCTAGGACCTTGGTTTTAGGGGATCAACAACATGGTTACCCCCTTTAACCATGAGGTTGCCCTTAATGACCGAGGATTAGCCCAATTTGAGCCTAAACCTGGATTAGGCTTAACTTAACTCAAGCTTAGCCCAATAGGTTCATAATTGGACTCAACCTAATTAAGTTTAACTCTAAGTATTAATGAAGTCTAACTTAGACTCAATTTTTAGGTCTAACCCACATTAGACCTAAAAACCCTAGGTCTAACCTAGCTTAGAACTAGTCTAACCTCTTAGGTCCTACATTAGACCTAACTCAAACCCTTTTTGGTCTAACCTACATTAGAACTAAACCCTAACCCTCTTGGGTCTAACCCACATTAGACCCAAACATCAACCAACCCTTTTAGGTCTAACCTACATTAGACCCGAACCCGAACCCTAACCCTCTTGGGTCTAACCCACCTTAAGGGTAGAGGACGTGAGAGACTTTCTTTTATGCTTGAGATCCAAACAGTCTACCATTTCTTTTTTGTGTGGCTAATGCTCTACTAAGTGAAATAGATCAAGTTAATTACGTCACAAAAGGACCTTGGAATGCTTTCAACCCTTCTCACCTTAGTTCATCAAGGTAAGCAACAGTGGCACATATTTATTTCGTTCATTTATTGAGAAAAAAAGTTTTTTCTATGTTGACCTCCACCAAATGTACTGATATAAGAAGGTGCACCCTTATGATACATAAGGACACTATGATAAATGCTATTGGTTTTACCTTCATAAGTAATTGCCAATATTCTAAGCTTTATGCCCCTCATCCTGATTTTAAATCCTTAAGTAGAACTGGAAGAAGTTATATCTTATTTGTGTTGTGAAAGATCATCCATACCAAGACCTATATAATGTATTTCACACATTTATTTCCTTACTTTAATTTTAGATTAGCAAGAGATCTAAATCCAAGTCAAAGATGTAATTGAATAAACCTTAACTTCACTTAGATTTGCATACTTCAAAATGAATGGTGTCATACATATCAATATTACAATTATTCTCAATCCCTCCCAATCTTTGTCAACTCTTACATCTTTCTTATGTACGTTACTTTTACTAACTAATATAAATTCTATTTAGTAATTGAAAGTAGTCTTTCATATGGACATTGAAAGTTGAAGAAGTCAATTTCTTTTAAAAAATAAAAAAGATAATCTTTTGCTTCACAACCTTTTCATGTTTCAATATAAAAAAAAGGAAGATATAGTTCTAAAAAATAAATATTACCTTTTGTTTTCACTACAAGCACCTCCTTAGCTATTGAGTAGAGAGCATAAGCTTATATAATTGCTATGATGACTTTACTATTTATTATCTTCTTTGTATATAATAGGTCTTATAAGATATCCGATAGATATTGTGGTATGATCAGTGGTTAGTTTGCAAATCCAATTCTATTACTCTATCCTCAGTGTTTAGAATCAACACATACCTTTCATCTCTTGTGTATCAGCAAACTCATCAAAGCACTCAAGTCTTTCTTAAGATTCAACACACAACATGAGGCACATGGTGTTGATGGAGACATGTGAAAGATGTTTAATAGCATAACATCAAAGCTTACAATATTACCCCATGTGGACATTACAAGTTTATGAATTTAATCTCAAAAGAAAAATAAATTTGCCTGCTTTAAAACTATGTTGCTAACTCAATCAATGGGCATACCAAGTAATGCTTCAATACAAAATAAAAGGAAGCTATAGTTGCTCACACTAGTAATTTTATCTTTAGTTTTCACTATTAGTGTCACTAGGGGTTAGTCTAACTACAAAAAGTATAAAAATAAAAGCTTAGACCAAGTCATCCTCTTCGCCCTCTTGTTGAGCTCGTAGAAAACTTCTTGCCTTCTTAAAAAATCTCCTACTAGTAAATTATTTATATTTTCATCAACCTCTCAACATTTGAAAGCTCGAAAGTGATTAAGCTTTACTAAGAAGTCTCCTACTAGTAAAATCAATTTTGGTAATTAATAGGAGGCATCTTGGTCTGTCTCCTACCCTTCAATGACTAGCAAATTGGCCAATGCCTGATATTTTGAGAAGGGGAAATAATGAAGCCATTTAATAATGGTGTTTGGAATTTGTAAAAATAATTTAGGAGGATTTACATAAA